CAGATCCTCTTTCCCCTACAAGCAATGGCTCATTCTGTTCCATTTCGAGCCCCTTGTTCGGAAGTTTGTGCTTCTAACGTATGCAAATTTTATGTGTCCCATACTATGAATCAAGAGGACAGGCCGATGTACACAATTCAGTGCTTTCACCCTTCCTTACGAGGCTAGATGGCTGCTTTGGGCAAAATCGCGGAACCGTGACAGTGCGTGTGTGATAGTGCGACACTTGCTCCTACACCACCTCTACCCTTTACTGTATTTATTTTTATCATTTATGGAACTTGTAGGTCTCTTTTGGATAGAACGCGAACGACCCTTGAGGTTTTGTAAATTTTTAAGATATGAGTGAAAAAAAAACTATGCTTTTTCTCATCACTTCCTTCCTACTCTTATCTATTTCCCTAATCCTCTTATCACTACCAAAGAAAACTTTTCACAGTTTCCGTGATGTCTTGTGCACACCCTTCTCGATTATTTTGCTCACACACTTCCAGCCCTAGAGGGGTCCTTTTCATAGGGGACGCCCCTAAATTACCATTTCCTCATAAATCATTCATTTATTANAAAACTTTTCACAAGTTCCGTGTGATGTCTTGTACACGCCCTTCTCGTTTATATCGCTCACACACTTCCGCCCTAGAGGGATCCTTTCCATAGGAACGTCCCTAAATTATCACTTTCTCATAAATCATTCATTTATTATGGAATTGAGTATTCTTTTATTAGTGTTTATTGTTACAGCTCGAAATCGAGTTACAGTAATTGTAGTTATTAATTGTAACTGGCACAATGAAGGTTCTATCAACAGCGGCTTCAAAACTAGTGCTCCTTGCTCTTTCAGCATCGTTCCTTCGCCTTATCTACAAGGTATTCAACACCTGGTACATACTACGTCAACAAATGCAAGCACAAGCAATTCTGCCTCCTAATCGCTCACAATTACATATAGCTTTACGCTTGATAGGTGCCCTTGGTCATATATTCACTTACATTACGTATTTTTCCTATTTCCTCCTATTTAATTCACTTGTCCACTCCACGCTGCCTTTGAAAGTGCTGCCGACTAGATCTCAGGCAGCAGTTATGTTAGTATTAGGAGTTTCTCTGCCGCAGAAATGTTCAACCGGTCATTTTGAAGCCAACGGGTGGCTGATTCCGCTGAGTTTGTTGTGATTTTTTTTGTTTTATTTTTCAGCTTTGTTTACTTGTTTCCTTTTTATTCATCATAATCCCTATGCCGCACCGTCATACACAAGAAAAGCGAAAAAAACGTGCTCGACTCCAACAAGTTCATAAGGATAAAGGATAAAGTTTTTGACGCTAATCAATCCCGTCTGAGAGATGCGCCCCGCACTTGACTTCCATTTAGAATCGTAGTGGCGTAATGAGTACGTATGTGGCCTGTACGATGACTTGCGATGGCCAGCTGATGTAAACGTCAGTGCTTTTATCCTCCCAGACGAGTCTGGTACCATTCACCGCCCCCGGAAGGATGGGAGGCTTGGTTGGCTTAGGCGGTATCGATCACCCCCCGCCTTTTAGTATACACTCAGGAATTAAATGGAAGGTATGAAATGGCATAGTAATCAGAAAACCGACGATTTATTTTGGTTCAAAAAATGAAAAACTAAGTTTGGATGTAGGTGAGAGGACGGAGTTTATGCAAAGGGCTGACTTTTTCGAAGAAGATGCAAGGCTTCATCTACAAATCTCTATTTTGCCGCGATTTCTTTTCGTTGAAACTTTGAAGTTTGCTAAGGTTTTTTTTCAGGACTTTCTACTTGCAAATATATCCATATTTTATCATTAGATATCACTATATTCGATATCACTATATTTATTTTTTGATGGGAACTAATTAATCACTTGAAATATACCTCTTCTTCGCCGTTCATCACAAAGCTTTTCACATATTTTTTTCAATAAATAGGCAAGAACGAAAACAACTTTTGGCTGATAAAAAATTTATTTTATCAATTGAAAAGCTAAAAAGACGAAATAAAAGATCAAAAATGAAGGAGATTAGCTCTAGCCTATGTGTGAATAAACAGCTGCTATCTCAAATCAGGACGATGGCAGTTCTGGCCAGATTGAATTCGTCAAAATTTTCTATTAGTTCGTTCCATTATACTTTATTCTATTAATTTCTATTAGTTATTCAATTTCTATGGAGTTTCAACTCTTCAATTTCTTTTTTCAATTTTTTCAATTTTTCAATTCCTCAAAATTAGCTCACTTATTGCCCTTTTAAAGAAGATTTTCATGAAATGTTGTATGAATTGGACATTCTTTGTTCGGAAAGAGATTATTATTTCTGTTTGTAAGCCCTTTATAAGGCGATGATGGCTCATATCAAAGGTGACTAACCACCCAATCAAACAGGAAACTCGTCATTTTAATGATAACAACTTTTAAATCGTCTCGTAGACTGTAAAAGTCTTGCATTCCAAAGCAGCATGGATTTGTTAACCAACTTTTCCTGGACGAGTTCCCCTATCCGGCCCTTTTCATTTCATTTCCGTCATATTTTGTATGAGACCATTGAGCAGTAAAACTTGGGAAAAGAGGAAACATGGTCTCGGCTGGTCCAACGATTTCTTTCTTTCCGCAAAATTGGTTTTATGCAAAAAATGGTAGTCAAACCGTGTTTATGACAACATAATGCACTTGATTACGCCGTTGGTGGGCGATTTAATTTCTTATTAAAAAGTTTTTTTCGTGGCAATTGGTTATGAATTAGTTATGGGTTGAGCTAGGCCTTTTATGAGCCTTTTAGAATATTATTCTAAGCGAACCCAAATGAAAGTGTCTAGCAGACATTACTCCCAGCTCGACTTCAACGGACGCTTTTCTCACTGTGGTGTAACCCAGAAGGTACTGCTGTACGGGGTTTGGGAGTTAGCTACCTTGCCACATTGCTGTTATTATTATGTGGATCTACATGGGATTGTTTACTTGTTTTGAACTGCTTTGCTATGGCAACTGCCTTTTTATACCATGACAATGCTATCGTGATGTAATTAGTAAGAAGTAAGAGCGTAGCTTCGACTCAGGCAATCTCCAGACAGACCCTGTTCCAGGTTTGGAGGAAAGGCCTAGGATGGGGTCATGCTTGAGGCAATTAGGTCTGCCTACGATTTTTGCTAAATATCGGGCTCGTGCTATCCAAATCATCTAAATTATAGTTTTTTCTGGTCCACCTCCTTCTAGACTAGAGTTCCATTTTATGAACAGGCCAATCTTCATAAGGCTGTTTTTTCATGTCAAATTTTAGTTCTGCCAGACAGCCGTTCATTAAAAAGGGCCCTACAAGGACAGTTTGGGGACAGGAAAGTACAATTTTGGTAGTAAGAGCGATGTCCAGATTTCATTTTTCAAAAAGAGCTCATGAAACCATTGGAAATGTCCTTGTGGGCACTGATTCACTAAAAAATTCATTGCTGACTGATAAATGGCTGTCAATTGACATAGAGACACCCTTTTATGGATGTATCCCTGAATTTTTGGGCGTAAATTTGGATAAATTTTAGATTTTTCAATCTTTCCGTCATTTTTAGTGAGAGATCAATGACAACTTACCCGTTCATAGGTATCCTGGAGTTAAGGTAACCAGTTGAATGAAGGCTCAAAGAGTTTCGCTGATTCCTCATAAATAGGGCATGATGTGGATAGTTTTGTAGCTGCACATTGCGAGTCTTACAATTAGTACAGACAAGTACCCCGCAACAAATCAATATCTATGTTTTTCATGCTCTTGTTCAACATTTTTCGTAAGGATCCGAGCAGTCTTGGTGGTAGTAAAGTGTTTGCACACGGGGAAATGTAATCCGTTTCCACGTGTGCCCTTAATAATCGGTCTTTCCACTCGATACTGCTCTTGTCATTACAGATATCCAATTGCCAACGTGAACGATCCATTTGGGCGTTTTTTTCCGCTACTAAAATTGGAATTCGGCTAAATTTTCTAAATATTTAGCCAATTTTTATAGGCAGTAGCAAATCCGTGCAGAAATTTCTTCATCTATCAACTTTCCTCACCCTTGGCTTGTTTTGGAAGAAAAGCCACTCGGTTGCTGTCTCAGTCATACCGTTTTTCTGGCATTTTTTGCGAGTTTTTTTTTCACAAATTGTTTTGATCCATATTTTTTGATTTTGCGATAATTACTGCAGTAATTTCTGTTCATCAGTACTTTACGTTTGGTCACCTGGGACCCACGTTTTCGCATCATTGCACGAATAAATAAGTAAATGAATAAATAAATATAGGCGCACAAAAAAATTCAGTACTATTTCTGGGTAGCACTATTATAGACAGGGCCGTTGTTAGGCTAAGATGGAAGCTCTGGATAAATACGTGTTTACACATCAATAAACTGAAGTGGCCAGAAGCTACCCTTCGACTTTTTGTTGGTAAACCTACGGTCACTCTCGCTGCTTGACCATCATAGTGGAGGGTAAAGGATTGTACCTGACCGTCTTCGGAACTTAAGCTTTTTTGCTCTGATGAATAGTCGAGTTTGCTAGGGTATGGTGAGATTGGTCTGTTCGAACCTACAACTTATTCACGTACTCTACATTTTTGGGCAAAAGCCTCAGTCGCGGCGCAACCTTAAAGTGTAAGTTATGGCTAACCATCTTCAATGCATCCGTCACCTTGCCGCTCATTGTCCTCCTCCGTCTCAACAATTTTCGCTCCGATTAAAGTTTTTTGGATCGCTTCTATACTTCTTGGTCGTATATGCAAATCTTTGTTCAGCTTTTTCTGAGAAAAAGATATTCCGCTTATTCCGATTTCCGAGCAACTCGACTTTATGCCCTTTGTCAAAGCAAACCCTATCTGCCGTCAAATTCTCCAGGATCCAGAATGTTTGCGTGAAATTCTAGGATAATTCTCGAATTTCTGATTTTTGATTTGGTGGTTTCTTCTCACTGATTTCGATTGTTCCGGCTGTGAAAACAATCCCTGTCGATAGCTGGCAATCATAACTGTCACTTCAGATATGACTGATTTGGAGCCAGTTCAACCCTCACTATGCCAAAGAATCTGCTGCTGTATGACGAATTCAGCAAAGGAGCCTCCTGTACAGTTGATAAGATGTAAGCTGTAGAAAACTCAGTGACTTAATTAGTTGAGTAAACAACAACATCAAAACAAAACAGCAATGATAACAAATAAGATCTCATTCTTCCATTAAAAATTCCATTTCAGCAGGAGCGCTAGACGTAAAAACGGTAACCAATGGACACATTTCAGCTGCCGAAAAATCCATAGATGGTTTCGAGGATGTCAACCTCGGTAGGTATTGGAACATCTTGTCCCTCAATTAGTCCAAGAGTAGCTACCGTAAGCTACGGCCTCAGTATGCCCAGCATCTCACTATGTCCACTCAACGGCACCCTATCCACCCAGGTTTCTGATGTGATTACACGACCGATTTTTCTTAGATTTGACAGATCACTGTGCATCTGGAAGGAATTCCCTAAACTCGTGAGTGAGGCCATGGGTGCTACCCGTGTCTACTCTCCACGCCCTTGAGAGGGTCTGCAGCTAACAGCTTTTGAGAAAGTCCGGCTATTTTCCCCCCACATATACTTATACATCTCATACGTCATTGAAGGAGCCCAAAAAACATTCAATTTCCCCATGTTCTACCAAAAAATCTTTCATATCTTAGGCGATTCAGAGATATTAGGAAATGCCCGCGACTCGCTTTATATAGATCGCGCTATTCTTAGCGTCCCTTTGTTGGACACCCCGTCATGGAACCCGAGGGAAATCCTAGGGTAACGTGTCGACTTGAGGAGCGAATGCCTTTCTGCTCAACCAAAGCATCAAAGTTTCTTGTAATGGAGAAATGAAGAGTCGTACTGAAGGATTTTTGCGTTTTTGAGCTTTGAGCCCAATGGCCTATGCCATGTGTCCTGAACCTATTTAATCTCCTAAATCAGAAATTCATGCGTAGTCTGAGCTCCCAGGTATTCTGCCGAGAAACCATCCCGTGAAGGAAGTATTTTGGGCGACAGAGATCAGTTGGGTTTCGTCTCAGATGTCCAACTACGATCTCGATAACCCAAACCCCTAACTCCTTTAACTGGATGAGAAGGGGTTTGAATGCTGGTCTCTTTTTCATGAGGAGAGGTCTCACACAGGGGCATTCAGCTCCATCATCTAAGCAGTAAGAGCTCTGTGAACCTCAAATTAATGCCGTACCCAAGCGAGCTCCATCGACCAAATGAACAGCAACTCGTACTGTTTATTCTGAGCATCATCTTCATTCAATATTGACCTTGACGGAGGTGTTTTTGGCTTGGCGCGGTGACTGTTTGAGAAGTTCTTGGGCACATTTTCTTTCATTCGTATCCGTCGCAAAACATGACGTGAACATAAAATGACGACGACGTCTTTACAGAACAACGATCGGTCATCAACACCACCTCCACGACGACAGCAGCCCCCGCTGCCGCCGCTGACACATCAAAATTGCGGGTGTTAGCGGAAAAAGACCGTAACGCTGTTAATATGAACGATATTATGATGGACGAGATACTCGGGGATGAGAGCCGACATGATGAAGTGGATGGCGTTTTTGAGGTGAGCGCCGTTCTTGAAATCATTCTAATGTGGTACCCAAGACGGGTTATCGAAAGGTCAAAAACGAGAATCAGGGCATACCGAAATTCCTACCGTAATCCCACTATTGCGTAACTTAAACATCTCGAAATGTCGTAAAGTAGCACGCATCGGTCTCACACTACTACTGGTCATGAAATTCGATGAAATACTATTTGGCTTCCCACGACTGAACCATGGCCAATAAATGAACCTAGCGCTTCATGGGTGGCCCTAAAGGTGGCAAATAACTAAGCAAAAAAAACTTATAAAGCTTTTGGGAAATATAACTAATGGCAGGATTTACATGGAAATTAAAATGAAAAAAAAACACTCCTACCGTTTTCCAATCACCGACTAAGGTATACTTCTACAACTTATTTATTTATTTATTTCTGTTCACCCAAGAATACTACACATAACGCCTAAGAAGGAATTGAATGCCATTGGTCCTGGAAATTGATTAAAAGGAGGGAATGAAAATATGACTGGCAATTAGAAGAGGATAAAAAGGGCCAGATGGAAAAAAGCTGATTGAGAAGAAAAAAGCCAAGTAAGCTGCATGAAGGGAAGTCCCAGGGATTTACACCGGAACATTTTTTGCTTGTTCAGGAAGCTAGATCCCTCCGGCTTCCTCCTACGGAATCCATGGCCCTCAGCCTCTGGTTAGAAAAGAGAGCAATAGTACTGTTTGATGAGAAATATACCGTTACCAACGAACTCGTCCTTGAACTCATGGACCAAGAACGACACCAACCACTATACTTAGCGACTTTACTGGCGTCTCAAACAATAGAATCTGATTCAGATTCGGGCCTCGTACGGGAGTTGCGGTCCCGACGATCCGTGCGCTGTAAGTCACTTTGACTCATCGCCCGATCTCATCATTTTCAGATTCAGGTCTGAATTGACCCTTACTGAAGACGTAATTAACTGCCAATCTCTGCGCCACAGCCTCCGCTACGCCGTACAGCACCCGTGTTTGCCAACTCGGCTGATAAAGTGAAATAGAAAAAGAAGAGTGAGAGATGAAGGAAAAGGGATGATTTACCGAAAGAAGATGCCTTCCTTGGAAGCCTGTCGTCCCTCGCAGATTGCGCCATGCGTTTTACACCTATTCAGAAAGCGGAAGCATTAGAAAATGTTGCTATGTTGCTGAACCATATAAAAACTTTCAGTAAACATAATAACAGTAATCAGTAACAATGAATTAAGTGGGTTACCTCTAAAGAGGCTCTTGAATTGGGTAGTACTTGA